GCAGCCGGTCCATGATGGGAGCTGGTTTTTAAACTCCAGTGTGGAGTGGCAGGGGGGCTCCTTGGGAGTGAGGGTGGAATGCACTGACTGCCAGCCCTGCCCCCAGGAACTATAGACTAGTCGAGTAACTGATAAGAATTCTATTCAGTGAACTGATATTTAACATCCCTACCTGGGATCTAAGGCTTTCTTCGGGGATTGGTTAAGGTTGGACAAGAGCAGCAGGACGTGCCTGTCCATCACAGTCCAAGTCAGCGGCTAGCATGGACAACAATGACAGTGTGGTGCCCTGCAAAGTCACAGAGCAAGAGAACAGAACCAAAGCATGTGATGTAACATTGTTCCTGTTTCTGTGCAGAGAGTGAGATACCAAAACCAGTTTCCATATGCCTGCCCGGTGTGGCCATCAAACCTGTGAGCTGTGCCAGCTTGGCTAGTGCTGCAATGTCAGGAAACAATGTGGGCTCCTCCTTAGACCCTCCATCGTAGCTGGGGAAGCCAGGGTACAAGATTTTATGAACATTTGTGGCACACTCACTGCATTAAAGGTGCCTGTTTGGTTTCACTATCATGATTTCAAATCATGGAGTGTGTGGCTCCAGCACTTCCTTTCCTTTCAGTACATCTGGCCATGTAAACTATGACCACCACAGCCATTCTATTTTTTAGGACTTGCTGTGTCAGACAAACTAAGTTAAGAAGTTAAAACCTTTTAAAACTATCTATGTAGAATTGACCTTCATATTTGACACCATCTCCCTTCTACTGAACAGACCTGAACTGGTTAACATAAACCTGGCTTTCCTTACATTCAACACCCCATTGACATCAAAAGCTAAGTATGGGACACTTCCAGCACACTCAGCCTCATTTGCACTGGGACTACAATTGACAGATAACTTCCCCCTCTCTGTCCCTTCTTATTGTGAGGGTCCCCTTTTTTCCTCCACTCACAATCATCTCATCTGAAGTAGAAGATTTTACCCACGAAAGCATGTACTAAGCTCATGCAGTCCAATTGTTCTTGGACTGCATTGGAGACAATTTTTTATTTCAGAAGGTTGAGAGCACTACTGTGGGGAAGCTGTTCTTGATTTGATTTTAA